CTGCATCGCTTGAGCTCCCATGCCGAGGATAAGTCTGCGGATGGTCTTGGTGCCTGCCCGTTCATGGGCGCGTCCGCGCAGTATGTCACTGAAGCTGACGCTGTTTGCTCGCTCATATTCCACACTGTATCGAATTTCGCTGGTCTGAAACTGGACGAAGGGGTCGTTTGTGGCTTTGTTCTCAAGATCTGCGATGATCTGTACAGCTGCTTCTTCTTGGCCGTGGGCAATAAGCCACCTGGGAATGTAAGTACAATCTGCCAAAAATCACGGTTTACATACCTTGGGGACTCAGGTAACCATGGAACTGTAAGAGCGAGTATGATTATGAAGATGAACTGGAACGACAGGGGAAAGCGCCAGGACACAGGGCCACTGGCAAACGAGAGTCCGTAGTTGAGCCAATTGGCAAGTGAAAACCCAACAAGGACAAGGACATTCTCTAGGATAACCAACTTTCCCCGCCAATGCACATTCGATGTTTCAACCTGCCAGATGGGTGCAGTGGATGTGTTCAGACCTGGGTGGTGTTATGGTTAGTGTCTTTACTCCAAGAAATATTGGAGAGGAGATACCATTTCCCATTCCCGCAATGACTCGGCCTACCATCATTTGGCCCACACTGTATGAGGAAGCTTGCAAAAGGGCACCAATTGCCATCACAGTAGTCCCAACGAGAACCGTCTTTCGGCGCCCTAACCGCTCACCAAGCCAGTATGCACAGATCGATCCGAGGAAGCAGCCGACATCGTAAATCGCGGTAACAGTGCCAAGCAGACTCGTCTTCGATGGGCCTTCAAGATCGTGCAACTGAAGAAAGTCCTGAGAGATTACGACTCCACTGAAGACGCCCTATATTGGGATCAGTCATGCACCTCAGGAACTTTACGGTAGTAACTGACCTGATCATAGCCATACAGAGTCATGTCAGCACCACAGGCTAGGGTGATCCAGAAGGTTAACCAGCCCCCTCGAAGACCGAAATACGGAATCTTAGAATTGAACATAGTGCCTATTCTATGGTAGTTCATTATCATAGTACATGTACCGGCTTGAAGGTTACGGTCGTAACTAATATATCCTTTCCTCCTCCCCATAGTTTCGCCCGGGTATGCGGCAATTCGGGGCAACCATTATGTCAGTAAAGCACAGCATTGCTACTACTTTTATCAAAGACGCAATTCAAATAGCTACTTTAATGCCATATTAGGACTCAGAAATATACAGTGAAGGTTCTGTCGATCCCATAGGACGCGGGGTAATGCGGGGGATCACGTGGAATCAGCAAGGAATGAGGATGGAATGGATCGACATTCAGCATGTGTCCCCGTCTCGGGGACAGTTTTCTCTAGATCACCGGTAATGGATACAGATTATGAACCCGATGGTAGTTGCAGCGCATGGCCATATGGTATTCCGATCATGGCTTCTCAATCACCCTATAGGCGGTCACGCATACGCAAGTCTCGCGGCCGCGGGTTGCGGACCAAGAATGGATGGTGAGTGACCCGTGCCGAAGAGGCGGTACACTGTTTAATATAGTGAATGCAGCATAACATGTCGTAAGCGACATCTGAAGTGCGATGAAGTCAAGCCGATATGTGGTCCTTGTGTCAAAAAGGACAAGACCTGTGAATATCCCGCATCAGGCCGTCGCAGTAACGACAGCCCAGCCTCCGACCGGGTCATTGCCGATGCTGTTCCGGTGTCAGACCAAGATGCAACATCATCTCCGAAACAAGCCAGCACTCATATACTGCATAACGTCTCCACAGAAATAACATCCTACGAACGACATGAGCCACCAGTTGTGGCGTGGAGCTGCTCAGATGCAGAGACTAATCCCCCTCCGTTAGCGGTCCTGGATCACCTAACGGGGGGTGACTTGCCTACCGGTCAGAGCCCCATCGCGTTTCAACATAACTACCTCTCTCCCTCAAACGCATCTTTTGCCGCAGTGAGATGGTTTGGACTATTAGCGAGCGATGCTGCAAGGGACAGCCCGCAGCTGCCATCTGTAAATAACTCCGGCACTCAAAACCAGCTAGTCGATCACTTGGAAATCGATGGTCTGAGCCAGCCCTATTCGCTGCAATACGCGACACAGGTGCTTGATAGTACCCTTGACTCCAGTGCGAGCAATGACCCAACAGGTCACCAAGAAGGTAGTGCGGTAGAGGAGGCACTAATTTGGCAGTCACGGGAGGCAATTGAGCTCTTGCCTACCGAACATGTTTTGTTCGAACACTTTATAAATCAAGTGTGCCCATGGGTTAGCATGCCTATTTTTCTGTTCCAAGGATTAACAAGATAGCCTAATTCCTCTCTAACAGCTCGATCTCTTCGATCCTACCAGCCAATTTTCGACATTTGTTGCGCACCTGGCAGTAAGCCCACTCAATGATCTCTGCTAAAATGCTTTATTAGCAGACTGACAACTTGTCAAGATACACAATGCTGGCCTCATGAATTCAATCCTCGCCCTCGCATTTCGACACTTAGCACTCAATCCCCGCCTAGATGAAGAAAACATGCCGAACAAAGAAGCTGCGGCTCTGCAATACTACTACCAAACACTACACTACGTCCAACGAGCCATGCGATTCTCCAGCTACAAGACGAGCCTAGAACTCCTTGCAACAGCACTGATCATCTCCGCCTACGAAATGCTGGACAACTCCACCAACGACTGGGAACGGCACCTCGAAGGCGTCTTTCTCATACAAAGGTCCCAGACCATCCACGGCGAGTCCGGCGGGCTACACTCCGCCGTATGGTGGGCCTGGCTCTGCCAGGACATCTGGGCTGCGTTCCGCGAGAAACGCAAAACCTTGACATTTTGGGTTCCTCAGAAACCGTTGTCCGCGCTGTTGCCGCACGAGCTCGCCATGCGCGCTATCTATATTACTGCGAAGGTTATTAGTTACTGCGCAGAGACCACGACCGAGGAGTACAGACGGCGTCGAATTGAGGACGCTAACCGGCTTCGTGCCATGCTTGAGGATTGGCGACAGCACCTAACCGTGGAGTTCTCGCCGCTACCGCTAGGTGTAAATGAGTATTCATCGTACTTCCGGCCGATTTGGATTCGTCCTGCTGCTTTTGGTATGTTCAACCCCAGAAACAGACGTTGGGCTAGCGAGGTACACTGACTGATTTGTTTTCTAGGACTAGCAGTTCAGTTCTTCAGCGCGTCGTGCTTACTTCTATTGGCACATGAGCCCAGCATGGGAGGACTGGACCAGTACCTCGAACGCCAAAGCGCCATCAAGCACTACGTGGAGGATATTTGTGGGATTGCTATGACCTTAAGGGATAATGCATCTAGTTTGATGTCTTCTCAGGCTGTATTTATCGGTATGTAATAAGGGGAGTGTGGCATGAGCGGTGAGCGCTGAGTGTCTTTCACGTGACTGACCCATCGCAGCGGGAATCTTTACTCAGGAGAAGCGTGCTCGGGAAGAAATCCTGGAGCTACTCGAATCATGTCGAGCAAGAACTGGCTGGCCGGTTAGGTCATTGGGAGTGGAGCTACAGGAGCTTTGGGAAAGCCAGGATGCTAAAGCCGCTACTGGTGGGAAAGCGTTTATCCGGGCCGTTGCTGCCTCATAACATGGCTGATCTCTACGTACTATCCAGTTTACAGACCAAGTAATGCTCCCTTGACTCCAGCTCCGAGTTGGACCCTCCATAAGCGGTGCTCATTCAGTGCAAAGATCTCCCCGTTTCGGCCAAAGCAGAAGTTAGCTACCCCGCCATCGATGAGAATGCGACCGAGGAGAACTCCCCCGGGGGACCAGACGTGGATACCATCACCGCAACCACTATACACATTTCCATTCAGATCGCATTTTATCCCATCGGGAATGCCGTGATCGGCCATGGCGAAGAGCCGACGGTTGGTGAGGAACGGCTGTCCATGTATCGTGGACACGTCGAAGGCATAGCTACACAACACTAATCAGTGGCCATCCAAATGACAATACAGTAATGAAAACCTTTCGCATACATTGAAGATACCCGATGATCAAACACCGTGCCATCCCCATGCAGTCGGTCCGTATCCGTGATATAAACCGTCTTCTCATCCGGGGAGAAACAAATCCCATTCGGCATCCCAAACCCATCCGCCATCGCGCGAGTAGTTCCTTCGCGCGGACACCACCGATACACCTGACACGGTAAACATGGTTCCGGACGATATTCGTGTCTATATCCATATATGGGATCCGTAAACCAGATCGAGCCATCGGTGTGCACCACCACGTCATTGACCGAGTTGAACGGCCGGCCGAAGAAGTCCCCCTTGAGCAGTTCCGTCGTGTACGGAGCAGTGATGGACATCTGATACAACCCACTAGGCTGGGTCATGGACCCCTGCCCGCAGATAAGGATATGATCTTTGCCGTAGTTGATACCGCCATTTCCCATAGGGATGTTGGTGGGGATTTCCTCGTAGGTGATGGGGTTGGTGTTCAGGTCAACGCGAGTGATGTAGACTCTTTGCTGGCTTTTGCTGCCATTTGGATCGAGGCATCGGTTGCTGGTGATCCAGAGGTTGTTTGTCTCGGCGATGTAGATTCCGGCTTCGTGTGCAAAGGGGTAGTCGCGATGTTCTGCTAATAGTTCGAGGGTGGGGGTTGAGCCGGTGATTGCGTCGAAGTCTTTGTGGTGGGATTGGAACCCTGTTATTTCGCTGTCGGTCATGGTGAGATATTTCGTCAAGATGATGAGAGTGAGAGGACAGTAAGCCACTGCGTAGGTGATCTGTACAAGAAATATAGTCTGTGCTTTGTGAGTATAAAAAGTGGCGAACAGAAACATGGAGGGGAAAGATGGGGAGAGAAACTGGGGAATCGGGGTAACTCCGGTCCTCGTCTCGAGGCCATCTCCACCCCCACCGAGTATCCATCTCCGAAGAGTATAAGAACGTCGATCAACACTAACATCCATGGTATGACAACCGCACCCAACTAAACTATTCAGTGCTCCTCGCAACGATGTCCTGGAAAGAAGAAAACCGCCACAGGCGCATTCTGCGCAATGCCCACGCCGGCGGATACGGCGTCATCGCTGTCATCGCCTATAACCTCGAACAAATCCTGGGATACATCCGAGCAGCCGAAACAGCGCGCTCGCCTCTAATCATACAATTCTTTCCTTGGGCGGTGAAAACAACGGATGGCTTGATTGTGCGTACCGCTGCAGATGCGGTCAGTCGTGCGACCGTGCCCATCAGCATCCATCTCGACCATGCGCAGTCGGAAGACATCATCAAGCAGGCGGCGGATTTGCCATTTGACAGTATCATGGTAGACATGTCGCATCATGAGAAGGACGCCAACCTGCGAAAGACTCGCGAACTGGTGCGATACTGCAATGAGCGCCAGAAAGTCACCGAAGCTGAACCGGGTCGTATTGAAGGAGGTGAAGACGGGGTCATGGATACGGCAGGGCTGGAGGCCTGTATGACCACTGCAGAAGAGGTGAATGAGTTTATTGACACGGGCGTGGATGTGCTTGCGCCGGCTATTGGCAATGTTCATGGCGAATATGGTCCCCGTGGTCCGCAGTTGGATTTTGAGCGGTGAGTTTCGCGATTACTTGTGATGATTGGAAAAATCATGTTGCTGACTTACAGTGGCAGATTTGAGAAGATTCGCAGTCAGGTCAATGGGAGAGTATGTTTGGCGATTCATGGTACGAATGGGTTCCCGCCTGAGCTGATACAGCGCTGCGTGACGGCTGGAGTGGCCAAGATCAATGTGAACCGGCTTGTGTTGGATGATTACTATGATCATCTTCGAGATAACGTGGGGAAGATACCACATACTCAGTTGATTGAGGAGGGGATTCAGAAAGTGGCGGATTTGACGGCGAAGTGGATGGAGATCTGCGGGTCTGCGGGTAAGGCGTGAGGGACAATTGAATTCAAATATGATATAGTCAGATTTTAGAGTGCTTCATTGAGCCTGGCGATGATTCGATGATTCACCATCCCTTTTTGCGAGCATTTACAAGTAGTGATATTTGTAAGCTTACAACTACTACTTTCAAGAGCTGGCTGCATTTATAACACGTACTAGACAGCAATGAGTACTTATGAACTAAGAGACAGTACCTTATAACTGCAAGATCATATTTCTAACCATTTCATTGCAAATTACTAAACATCCCACCATCTGCCAACAACCCCGTGGCATTGACATATCGACTCATTTCCTCGCAAGCCAGGAACACCGCTGGACCAGCCATATCATCTGGGTTTCCGGTTCGTCCCAACGGTATGCGCGCCTCGAGCGCAGCCTTCTTAGTAGGGTTCTTCATATCAAGATCAGCCAACTGAGTGGCAATAGTACCTGGCATCAGAGCATTGCATCTGATACGATCCTTGCCAAGTGAAATAGCCATAGACTGCATCATAGAAAGCACAGCAGCTTTAGTGGGGGTATAGTGGGTCTGAAGGCCTCCACCAACTAGGGCGCTGACGGAAGAGATACCGATGATGGAGCCACCGTGGCCCTGCTTGACCATCTGCCGCGCAGCTGCTTGGCAGGAGTAAAAGCAGCCTTTGATGTTGACGTCGATGCTGTGATCGAGGAGAGAGGACTCAATTCTGAATGTGTTAGCTGCCATTATTCTCGTCTGCCCTGTTGGAATAATAGACTTACTGGAGGAATTCGGCTTGTTTGAATACGCCAGCATTGGCGACGAAGATATCCAGCTTGCCCCATTGAGAGACGGCTTCTTTGACGAGGTTTATGCTGGTCTCGGGCTCGGTCACATCACCAGGAATCTCTAGGATATTGCCAGCCGCAATGCCGCTTTGTTGGATGGATTTGATTTCATCGAGTAGACTGTGTCGATGCACTTCATCTTGGGGGAGGCCGAGATGGTTGACCGCGACATTGCAGCCTTGGGTGATGTATGCCAATGCGATAGCGCGGCCGATTCCGGTCGTGCCCCCGGTGATGGCAGCTGTTCTGCCCTTGAGGAGATTGCAAGCTGGTAAGGCCATTGCAGTGAATTGCTCACAAAGGCGCTTTCGAAAAGCAAGCACTGGTCGCTGTGCATGATAGTGACCGGAGCACCTTTTCAAGTCATGCAATGCAATCGATGTTCCCGTCTCGAGGCAATGCATCCCCGCGCTTCCCCGCCTCTCCGCGTCTCGGGGGATCCCCGACTCGAGTGATTAAGTATCAGCAGATGATCAAAACATCTTATAAAATGACTAGTGATTGCCTTAAACAATGTAGAATTAGATCATACTCATATCATCACAATGACTTCCTCGGACTCCAAAGAAGCACCCCAGACCAGCGCTGTCCAGACCCAGGTCAGCCTCGGTGGAAAGGTTATCGCAAGTAAGTACTCAATGGACGGAGCTGTGACAGATCTCTAATGTGTCTCAGTAACCGGCGCCAATCGTGGAATCGGCCTCGGTATCGCAGAATGCTGTCTCACCAATGGTGCCGCCAAAATTTACTCGATCGACATCGGCGAGACGGGGGAGGACTTCGGCGCCCTAGAAAAGCGCTACCCAGGGCAACTCAGGGCCATTAACGCAAATGTCACAGAGGAAGCCACAATCACCGCAGCAATCGACGAAATCATCGAAGAGGCTGGCGCGCTGCACGGTATGGTAGTCAACGCCGGTCGCACCCACCACAAAGCTGCCCTGGATTTCACTAAAGAGGAGATTGAGACCCTCTTCAACGTTAATCTCTTCGGGGCGTTCTATAGCGCTCGTGCTGCGGCGCGTGCCTTTATCAAACTTGGAATCAAGGGCTCGATTGTTTTCACTGCGTCTATGGCTTCGTACCGACCGAATAAGGTTTGTTGCTGATTTGCGTGTGACAGTCAGAACAGTGGCTTACGAAGTGATAGCGTGTCCCATCCACTCCCTATGGCGCTTCCAAGGCCGGCGTCCGAAACATGACTCACACACTGGCCATGGAATGGGCTCAGTATGGCATAAGGGTGAATAGTGTTTCTCCAGGTTTGGTAAAAACTGCCATGACATATTGGGTCCCGCAGCAGCCCGATTGGGAACAGCAACTCAAGTATTACGGAGGGTTTCCCCGGCTGGCGGAGGTGCAGGAGCTCGGCGGCGCTTATGTGTATCTGCTGAGTGATGCTGCTAGCTACACGACTTCGATTGATATTCCGGTGAATGGGGTGATTGGAAGTAAGTCTTTCATTGTTCTTTTTTATTGCATGGGTGATACTGACTTGAGCAGTCTGTTGAGAATAAATTTCCGCAGCGAGGTCTTGTTTTCCAGATTTCATGATATTGAGTTCGGTTACATTTGAGAGCATTCATGTAGTACTTCGATACCTCCCACATATTAATTTTCCCTTAGAACTTCAAGAAGGCAGATCCATGAAACAACTTACCGCGCCCGCGAAATGACGCCCTAAGATGTTGTGTCGTGCGGTGCTTCACACATCATTAACGATGTGAAGGCCCCAATGTAATGTACTCGAGATTGTATGCTTGCGCCTTAGCTAGGGATGCTCCATACTTTGTATGCAATAACTATGATATGGTATGCAAAGGGCATAAATATCTCTCGCCAAACTGTCAGGCCTAAGCTTTCATATGAACGTAGACGTAACAACTTCGCATCGTCAGGCCCTAGTGCGTCCTTCCTCTCACAGTACCATCAATACCCTCCAAATCACTATACAATCGCCACTCATAATCAAAACTCGGGTCATTAAATCGCGCCTTCGCATCCAGCGTAGCAATCTGAGCCATATCCTCCGCATCGAGCTCGAAGTCAGCAGCCAAATTCTCCTCGATCTGCCAATCGATCACAGTCTTCGGGATGACCGAACGGCCACTGTTGATTCCCCACGCAAGCACCACTTGCACAGGACTCTTGCCATATTTCTGACCAATTGCTTTGAGAATGGGCTGGTCAATAACCCGCATCATGTGCGCGATTTCCTTCGACCATCCTGCCTGGCGATAGAAGTCGTTCATGTTTCCGAGAGGACTGAACTGGACAACGTGAATGCCCTTTTCGCGAAGCCATTCGTTGAAGCCTTTTTGCTGCAGGTAGGGGTGGACTTCCATTTGGTGCACGGCGGGGACCTGCAGTCATCAGTTACACTCAATCTCTCGAGTAAATGGAATAAGAAGGTGACATACGGTAGAAGTCTCCCTAAGCAACGTCTCGATCTCACCCTTACTAAAATTCGACACCCCAATGGCCTTCACCTTTCCCGTCTCAACCACCTTCTCCAAAGCCCTCCACGTATCCACAAAGGTAGTCTCCCCATGAATCATTCTCCCCTCGTCGTCGCGAGGGAACCGATCTTCACCCCGCTTAAACGTGCACGGATAATGCATCAACAACAGATCAACATAGGGCGTATCCAAGTCCCGCAAAGAATCATCCACCGCGCGCTCGACATCATCGGGGTGAAAATCGTTGCACCAGAGCTTCGTGCCAAGGAAGATTTCTTCGCGCGGGACGCCGCTCTTCTTGATTCCCCTACCGACTTGCTTTTCTACGCCGTAGACACGCGCTGTGTCAATTAGCCGCATACCATGTTGCAGGACTTGGCAGACGGTATCTTCCTGAGAGTCGGGGTCTTGAAAGGTGCCGATTCCGAGAGCGGGGATTTTGGCGCCCGTGTTGAGGGTGTATGTTGTGCGGGTGGTGGGCGGAAGAGTGGCGCTTGGTTTGATGGACACGATTGGGTCCTTGAGTGTTTGGGGGCCAGTGGCGTTGGCTGCTGCGGTGGCTGTAGCCATGCTGAGTGTGTTGTAAGTAGCTGGTACTATGTTGGCTGATGCTATTGCCAAGAGGCTGTGATCACTGCAGGTTTGTGACGGTCGAACTGAAAAGAATCGACGGGGGTAAATATATCCTTCAGTGGTATGTGGTATACGGTGAGGGCGAATATATCTGCACTGATCGTAAGGCTATAAGCCACTGCGAGGCCGAAACATTCCAACGTAAGCAGGAAGCTGTAAGCCTGCATGACGCCGTGACGGTGCTAGTCTGTAGTAAGAATTGGCGGCGGCTAATAGCGGCCGCCGGCTACTGTGATCTCCCATCTGACGAGACAATTTTAACGGATGAATGTAGATATCATTTATAAAGATTAATGTATCTCGTGATATTAGATATAGAGACAGTCCAAGTTCATCTTCAGTTATCCCTATACTTTGATCTTGGACGACTCTTTATATAACGGTCAATCTGGACAAATTGAAAATTACCTTCCAAATTACACTTTCAAGCTCATACAGAAAGCTATGAGTATATGATAATGACTTATAATTGCAAGATTCCGTAGGATGAAAAGTAATTATGCATGAATTTAAAATCCACCAGACTCCCATTGGCAAATCAATTCACCTACTGAACATCAAAATACCCGGTGCCGCTATTAGCCGCTGCAGTGGGCGCGAGACGGAACCATGCCAAGAATTTCATCACATCTTATCACATCCCATCTTGACTGTCGCATCTGTCTTAAATGATATCTTGGTAGAGGTAATTGTGGGGGGCGACCCAAAGCAATGACGACATATAAATCTATATAGTCATTATGCCTAGCAGGGCAAACCTAACATTACATATCACAAATCAAACATGACAAGATAGATCATGAAGTCAGGTATGTTCAACCTCCGTCAATGGAATCTCATCCGCTACCACAGTAACCTCCACCTTCTTCACAATCCCGGGCACATGTCGATCGAGAAACTCGCGGTCCCCGGCAAATATATGCGTGGAGATACTAGCCAGGATGTGTTGCTCCAAGTTCTCCCCCGACTCAGTCTGCTGCATATACGGCATGATCCACCGTTTCTTCCAGTCCTGCGTCATTTGACTGACATTAAGTGTTGTACTTTGCGCGCCTTCAGCTTCGTCCATTTTCCTGTGTAGAGTGGGTGCTCTTTTGATGAATTTCTTGATCCAGTGGACAATTAGCGGTCGGAGACAGGGGATGGATGCGGTGATGAGCACCACGCCCGCTTCCACGAACATCCACCGCAGAAGAGTGACGTGGTTGGTGCGAGGGTTGGTCGAAGTCATGATGGTTGGGTATTCGATGGTTTTGACCATGGAAGCGGCCATGGCTCTGGATGATTGGGTAATGGTTAGTTGGGAACGAGAGAATACATGGTTGGTCTATTACTCACACTACTCCCAAACTCAGGAGCGAGACAAGAACAAGTTTGACCCTGACATTCCAATTAAATCGCCAGAAGATGTAGATGGGGAAAGCGGCGAGAAGAAGATCACAGGCGGAGTTGAATGCTGTAGAAGTCGATTAGAAGGGGCTCGCCAATGATATCGCCAAAAGATGAAACATACCACCCTGAAAATAAGCATAGTCTATCTGAACCTTCAGCGACATGCAATGGGTGTCTTGGCTCGGGTTGAACAATTCTTCCACATGTATCGAACATTGAAAAAACAGCAAGAACACACTAATGACATTGACAACCGCCTGCAAGGGTACTAGGGTCCATAGAATAATGCGGTGTAGTTTTCGCGCTGCCAGCAGCTCAATAAGATAGACGATAAAAGCCAAACGGCCGGCAGTGGCAGCCAGCGTTACCATGGCCTGACTTATAGTGGAATACTTGAGGGAGCTCATCGCGTGGTGCAGCTCGAGCGAGCTGGCTGTCTTTCCGTACCCATAGTCTACCGCGACACTTGAGAGAAATGCGGCAATCACAAGCAGGGCCTATGTATTTTCCTAGAAGTTAGTGACGTCGTGAGAACACAATTCCATGTACTGACCAGTGCCAACAGAGTGACTATATCACTGATCTGAAAGTTGCCAAACTTGGCATTGCCGAATGAGCGCATAGCCACAACTATAATAGACAATGCACTCATTGTCCAAACAGCAGCCAGCAGCTCTGGGCCAAAGTTGACCGCAGAGCTTGGCTTGGGCCGCGGACCGCCAGTGGTACCATTTCCACCGGTTCCATTCTGCGGGGACAGTCCGGCATTCATCTCCGCGGGAAGTCATAGCAGAGAAGAAAAATAGAGTAAAAAACGGCGTATCCACGCGAGGGCAACGGACGATAGAAAAGGATTATTGGGGTTTAGAGGCCACGATCATCGCACAGACCCATAGTGATAGCCAAACCAGCGAGCGCTATATTCAGCGCCAGATAAGCCCCCGGGCGGAAACAAAGTTGGTGTGGGATCGCACTGGGCAGTTGTGATAGGGCCAAGGCCCGCGGAGAACCACGCGTCGTCCGGGATATGCGATCGAGGCGCACTGCTTGGTACTGGCCGGTGCGACGAACACGCTCAGCTGGCTATTATGTGCTCGTCCATTGGGCCCACTGAATTACTCAAAGTTGCTCAACGGCCGGACGATCGTCGAAAATCACTTTAAGTGAAACGTTACCGTTGGGCCCGCGCATCCTCTGGCCCGCACCCACTAACGCAAATTAAGCATATCGGCCGGTTCTTCTTGCGTGCTCTCCACCCCCTTAATATCATCGACCCGTGGTCCTTGGACTTCCCCTCTCAGGGTTTCGGCCGTGGCTGACCGTGATTAAAGGATTATCACTGACTAGCTCTGTGTCAGGCTCACTTGACAGCGAAACCTCAGAGTTGAACCCGGTTAGCGTGCGGAGCTAAAAATACGTCTTAGTGTTTCTTAATCTAGTGACAAACTATCTAACTGGTGTCCCGTCATATGATGCAGGATGGCATGGGTGGAGACAGAGATGACTAACAAAAACTCCCTCAATAGTGCAAGTGAAAAGGATTTGCTAGGTGTGCGCCTTTCAAAAACCCAGGGCCTGCCAGGAGCCCCCAAGCAACTGTGATTTACGTCAAACCCCGCCATCTCTATCAGGAACTGCCTATCCAAAAGTAGCGCGGTTACTACAAAACCTCAGCCCTATGTATGTATGCTCAGGGAGGTGGAAATGTCTATCACCTAGCAGAGCCAAAGTGGTCGAAAGAAGGTGAAGTAGGCGTGCTAAAATTAGTATTGAAAATGGCTCAATTTATACATAGTTCCAAAGCGCGATTCTCTTGACCCAGAAAATTCCACATATTCGAGGACCTCTAAATTACCACTCAGGGCAGGGCTCATTGTCATCTCCAGACGTGGATCCAGAGCCAGCCATAGAGCCCAACTGAGCACCAGACTCCTGCGATCCAGGGGCAGATCCAGAGGCGAACGGCGCAGAGTCAAATCCAAAGCCAGCGCCAGCCTTAAAACCAGAGCCAGAGCTGGATTGAGTGGGAGCAGCACCAGATCCAGCGACCGAAGGAGCAATGGACGGCACAGAGCCAAATTCCTGAGTGGCCGAGGTAGCAGCTGGGCGAGTCACCTCATCGGTAGAAACGCCACCAGCAGCTGAAGGGGTAGGGGTTGCGTGGGTAGCCACAGACGCAGTGGACGAAGCGACGGCAGTCTGAGAGCCCATGGCAGGAATGCTGATGGTGGCGATGATCCAGACCTTGCCGCCTTCGCTGGAGGTCAGACCGGCATACGTGGCGCCCGCGCCGGTTGCGATGGTGTCGCCGAAACTGGTGTCCGCCTCACGCAGGGTGATGGTGGTGTTGAGATACAGCTGGTCTGCTACAGTGCCAGTGCAATCGCTGTCGCATTCGGTACCGGTGCCATAACTAGCAAGGATAGCAAACATGGTTAGTAAACTAACTGGTGGATGGTCCACTCGTTAGTACTGGTCGACCTACCCAGTCATGTACGGTCCTGCGGCATAAGAGTAGCTGGACAGAGCAGCACCCGTCAAAGCATTGGTGACATTTTGGGTCCAGGTCTCGCCATCAGAAGCGAGGTTGTATTCGATACGAACGTGGTCGTTGGCACTAACAGGCGAGCCAGTACCGTCCAGCTGTCCAAACGAGCCGAAGATACTGGCGCGCACACACCACTGGCCCGTGGTGGCACCGCACCAGGAGTTGCTGGGCCAACTTTCGAGCGTGGTTTGGATGAGATCACCAGTTCCGTTGCTCATACCTGGCCAGAGGAATAGCTCACCATTCTGAGTGGAGGGGGCGACTCCGGGAATGATTGTGGTGACAGCGTTGATAATGTCGGACTTGGTCGGACCCAACGAGACACTGCCTCCCCAGGAGTCCCGCTTGGCGACCTTGGTGGAACTCTGCAGAGCAGCAGGCAGAACAGCACCGAGAGCGACAGAGGGAAGGATGACAAGCGTGCTGAGAACGTGCATGGTGAGGGCTTTGTTGAGTTGATTGGTATTCAAAGAGTGATTGTAGAATTGAATGATGATAATGAATGGAATGCTTGAGGCCACCAGTGCCGTCAGAACAAGAGAATGATTATAAACAGAGAAGAGAATGATATGCAGGTAGCTTTCCGAATGAGGACAGGGGGGAAAAGCTTCCTATATAAAGTCCAGGCCATGGTCTCGGTTCTCTCGGAATTGAGGCCTCTAATCAAATGACAGTTTCAGGCCAAGGCGAGGGCTGAAACGCCCGCCTGCAAGACATGTTGAACCCGAGCCAATAGGAAGCAAACGCCAGAGATTCTATGCTCTCAACCTTGCCTCTCTTTGGGTTGTCATTTCCTGTCATTTCCGATTAGGGGAAGTTACTGCTTCATCTAGAACGTGGATGGCTTCATAGTAACCAAGGTCGTCGGCAGCAGCACCGCAACGCTGATCGATGTATGGATTCCCCTTTTCCTACTGACTAGTAAGTGTATCCAGTTTCCAAATAAAGGATTGACACTCTACTAAGAGCGAATATCTAAGTGTTTCATACTGCTTCGTAGGGTTTAATGTCTTATTCCATGCACAGAAACAACATTGTCAACGAAACCCGGAATCTGATTT